ATATTTGAATTCACTATGTCAATAAACCACTTCCTAGTAACTAGAACTAAATTAGGAACTTTGAAGATTTATGTTTTTCAAAGCATTAGAATTCCATATGGGAATTATTTTATAGAGTAAATTCATAAAAAGATTCTTATCTATCATAAGAACCAATAAAATCATTGTCTACATATTCAGAGAAAAGTAAAAGGTTTGCGTAATTATTGGGATAATTACCATGTTATATGGAAAATAGTACTGCACTGTGCTGTGGAGAAATCATAAACTATTAAGAAAAGAAAATTAAAAACTTTGCCTCAGCCCTCAAGTTTGAACTTATTCTACTTGTTGTCAATCTCTTCTTGATTTTGAGGCTTTAACTTTTATTTGCTGCCTATTATATGATTCTGTTATGCTTATCTAATCTCATAATCATGCCAAGAAATTTTTTTAGGAACGTTTGCCTGACTCAGAAAGATCAAAATCCCTATTATATTTTGGACCTGAGAATGTCCTTTTTGAGTGTTTAATATTTGTTTCATGTCATTCTGATTAGAAATCAGTCTCATTTATTTAGTTTTGTCCGATAAAAACTTTCTTCTCCATCTCTTGGTAAAAAACTTCTTAGATATTATTTCAATACAAAAAACCCGGGGATGGGGGGAACAAATAGAATCTTAGAATTTTTTTGTATTGTTTAGTTTAGGTTAAAAAAAATCCGTGGTTTTAAATCAGAAATTTCTATATTTACATTTTGGTATATTCTAATATAATTAACATATGATTTTTTTCTAAACATTTGTTCACCATTATTTAAATATTAAACAAAAAAAACTAAGTGTCCATCAATGGATGAGTGAATAAAGAAGCTGTGGTATACATATTCAGTGAAATACTACTGAGGAACTAAAACCTACGAAGTCATGCTTTTTGTGATAACAAAGTTGGAATATGAGGTGATCATGCAAAATGCAGTAAATTGGGAAGTGAAAGACAATTACCATATGGTTTCACTCAAACATAGAATAAAAATAAAGCAAACCCACAAAACAATCAAAAAAAGTTCTTAATAGTTTGTGAAAAATGTTGGTTAACACAAAGGAATGGGAGATATGATTATTAGCATCTAGGCACTGGACCTTTGATGATGGGTGCAGTGAGTCTTACAAAACATAGGGAGGACAAAAGCTACATCCCTTGGACCAGAGATTACAGGATTTCAGGTACTTGCCTTGCACATGGCTGGCCCCAGTTCAATCCCTCATAACTTCTGTGATACCCCCAAGCTTTGCTAGTAGTAAACTCTGAACACAAAATCAGAAGAAAGCATGGAACACTGTCAGAAATGCTCACCTGCCCCAAAAATCCAGATAAAGTTATATTTAACATTCCTAAAATCCTACATTATTTTAAACTTAGTAAAAAATTATTTCGAAAAAAAAGGGAAAAAGATGAGTAGAAAATAGTGAGATAGATACATCCCATACTGATAAAAATATGTCTAGTAGGAGTTTTCAGATATTCCTTCTGAAAAATGATTGGAAAAGAGGCTAGCAGAAGACTTATACCTCTAGGTAACTATAAAGGAACGGTCAGCAATAAGGTCAGTCAAGTCAGAATAAAAACTTGATTTCTTGAAGACATATGATATGCCAAACAGTATCATAAATAACATCTGAAAAGTACTCTCAAACATAATTGCTTCACAATTTTACATTTGCAAAAGTAGAAATATTCATGAGGTTTTTATTTTTAATAGTATAAGAATAATATTACTTTTTAATTCAGTTATCTAATATTCTCTGAGTGATAGCACAGCGGGTAGGGCTTTTGCCTTGACGTGGCCAACCCAGGTTCGATTCCTCTGCCCCTCTCGGAGAGCCCTCCTAGCTACCAAGCGTATTGCACCTGCATGGCAAAGCCTCGTAAGCTACCCATCACATATTCAATATGCCAAAAACAGTAACAAGTCTCACAACTGGTTGTGAGACATTACTGGTGCCCGCTCAAGAAAATTGATGAACAATGGGAGGGCAGTGCAGAGCAGTGCTAATCTAATATTCTCTATTAAATATTTTGTAAAAACTAGGTCAGAGAAGTCTAGAGCCAACAAAAGTATACTTGTTATCTGACCATGTTTCCAAATACTTATAGTTAAAAGATTAAAGATGACCTCATAATATATAAAGATTTAATGACACACAGAGTACTTATAAAACTGTCTCACTTTAATGCTGAGATTTCAGCCCAAGTAGCCAAAATTTTAATTCCTAATGCAATAATTTGTAAAATATTGATAATTCAAAAAATTAAAGGAACTAAATTATATTTATCAAAATAAAGCAGTAACAATAAAACATTGATAAAACTCTTCAATCATACTCAACACTAACAAAAAAAAATGAAAACATGGTGAAATCAGACTATCTGAACAATATAAAACAAACTAAGAGGGAGCCTGGAGGAATAGTCGGGCAGGTAAATTGCTTGCCTTGCACCAAGCTGACCTTGGTTCAATCCCTGGCATCAATATATTCCCCTGAGCACAACTAGAAAGGATCACTGAACCTAGCCAGGAGTGAGTCTAGCACTGCCGGGTGTGACACAACAAAAGAAAACAAAACAAAGCAAAGCAAAGCAAAAAGGAGCCACATCAAATCAAAACACCTTTGCCATAGAAAAAAATAACTGCATCAAAGTGAAAATCCTTTCTATTGCATAGATCTCTGCATAACACATATGTGATGATGATTTAATATCTAAACATACAAAGAACTATAGAACACACACACACACTAGAACACACACACACACACATACATACCCACAAACCAGATTTTAAAACAAGCTGAGGGTCTGAGTAGCTACTTCTCCAAAGAGTATGTGTGTATTGTCAAACACAAAATGTGTATAGTATTATTGCAGACATAAAAATTTTGACACAATGAGATATTACTTCACATGTGAAGTAACGATTATCTAAAAGTCAAGAAATGACAAATGTTGAAAAGGATAAGGAAATAAGTAAGCCCTTATACTCATCTGGTGTGACTATATATTTGTGTATCATTATGGAAAGTAATATAAAAATTTCTTTAAAAATTGAAGATAGGAATTGCATTACCATTGAGTTAATCTACTTCTGGATATTCACTCAAAATATAAAATGACACTATACTAATAAGAACTTACAGCCCCTAAACTTATAGCAGACTTATTTACATTATTTACAGCAGTCAAGACCTGGAAATAACCTAAATACTCAATGAATATATGTGTGTGTGTGTGTGTGTGTATGTGTGTGTGTATAAGGTCCCCCATTATAGGTTTCTTTTTGTCCAGTTTCTTATAGAAAAGCAATTTTGACAGAAACAAAGTAGAAAGACCATACATAGTAGTAGAATACCCTAATATGTATAACATCTTTTTAATTAAATATCTTATATACATATGTGTGCATGGATGTTTTTTCTTATGTAACCATACTCTACATATGCATATCTGTTTATATATACTTTCATTTCCTGCTATGACTTTACTTGTCTAGAGTTGGTTTTGTCTTTCCTTTGTCTTTAATTCTGTTTTCCACAAAACAAATAACATGAGACTCGCTATGCAAGGTTTGAGAATATAGTAAAGTATGTGAATGAAAATAATCCACAATAGTAGAGTGCTAGAGAATGTGTGACTAAACCCAGGGATCATATTAGGGGAGTGCAAGAAATCCTGAATCATTTCACAGGATTGGAAAAAAGAGGAGCCAGACTATAAGTGAAAGGATTATTGCATCAATGAGTCAGCACTTTGCCATTAAGTCTTTGCATTGCAGTTGGAATAATTGGAAGACTTCATTTGAACCCTTAACACAACGCTGAGTTATGAATCTCATTTTCAAGAAATGGATTCTCAGCATAGCAATGTGAACAATGAACTAAGGATTATGTCAGTGATTCCTTACTCTCTTCCTGGTCCTCTATTGCCTCTTTGAAACAGTATCTTGGAACACGAAGGAATAAAATGGTCAGTCAAGCTAGCTAATATAAAGAGAATCTGGAGTATCAAATATAGAGACTTTGCTTTCTAAAATTAGCAACAACCATGAAACTTATATCTAGAGCACATACTAAGTACATGTTAAGTAAAATACTCAAATCTTGCCCCAAGGCTAATTTGCTTCTACTTCTATTGCTCACTTTGGAGTTATCTGTAGAGTAAACTATCATCACTACTTTCCCTTGATTTTTATAAACACCTAATAAGAATTAAAGTTCTATATTATCGGAACTTTCATATTATAAAATAGCCCTGGGCTTATACTTTGGCAATGGATAATTTGACTAATGACCTTTTGAGAGTGTTTGCAATCCCTTTCCACAGCAAAATAATACATACTACAGATTCCTCAGAGTCTGGCTACCCTGTTCTGATTTTCTCCCTTTCTGCTTCTGTACTTTGATCCCCCATTTATTTCACAGTTTAACAGACCAAACAAGTATATTCCCCTACAGTAAACATAAACATCCAGTCTTCCACATAAAACATCACACGAAACTTTTCATGGATTATTATTCTAGGAATTCTTTTAATCTGTTGCTTCTCTACTTTTGTTCTACATGGTACAGAGATCAGACAACTGCATAATAATGTTTTCTTCCATTTTGTTGTTTTCCTCTCACTGTTTTAAGTTTCTGATTCAGTAGCATCCTGGTTATACTCTCTTTAAATAAATAAAAAGACATTTGCACATTATCAACTCACAATATACCTTATGATGGTAACACATGAAATAAAATCGGTTGCCAGCTAGACTGAATAAAATTCTTTCCAAGTTTACCTGATGAACCAAATGACTGCAATAATGAGGGGAAAGAAGTCATAGTAAGTTGTAGAAAGGTCTAAAAGAAAGAAGAAGCAGCTTCTCATTGGGGTCAGTTTATTCACTTGAACAAAAATTTGTTAGACAGTAAATTTGAGCTACAAGAATGAAAATATATTTTCTTGAGAAAAAAATTACTTACTGAAATAACAACAACAGGATATAAAATGGAAAGATCACTCTCTTGAAGTATATTCAGTAATTTCTGTGTTTCTTGGAAATCACAGGTCATCTCCTGAAGGACCAGAATAACAATGAAAGGAGTTTCACAAGTGCTCTATAAGTTAATTCAAGGGGAAAGATAACAAAAATATTCCTCAAGTATAATTTTAAATTTTTACACAATTTTAAGTAGCAAAGGTTATGATTATTAACATTTGAACTTCCCATTTATCTATTCTATGTCTTATTACCTGTTGTATAACACATACAAAACAGAAAATTTTAAATGTTATCTAAAGCAAATTTCTCTCCGTAACACCGAGATAAGCTTGTTAGAAAATGGTATTTCACTACTTCAAAAGAAAATAAATCCAAATATATTTTAATAACTCCTCATATATCAAAAATTTAATTTTAAATATTTAAAAACCAAGAAAAATATATTATCTTCCACATTACATCTACACATATCCAGAGCAAATGCAATTCATTGTATTTACTACTTACATTTACACAAACAAAATTGTAGCATTGTTGTAAGATAATTTTCTGAAGATCTTTGTCAGCATGACATAGAGCCCCAGATGTAACTCTTACATGCTATGAAAAATAAAAGAAAAAAAGCAAATTTAAAAACTATACAGTTCAAATATGAATATGAAGAAATCTGTAGCAAAAAATTATGGTAGGAACTTAAAGCTATGGGTCATACTTACAAATAAAAATTTTCATACTAAAATTCATCAGTGTACCAAAAAAATAATACACTTGAAGTAATCCATAAATGATGATTATTACTTTAGAATATAGGGTTTAAGGCTACTTTTCAGATCAGAAAATAAGAAGTTTGTAAAGGATTGGAATATGATCACTGTCACTGTCACTGTTACTGTCCTCCCGTTGTTCATCGATTTGTTCAAGTGGGCCCAGTAATGTCTCCATTGTGACACTTATTACTGTGTTTGGCAATTGAATACATCACAGGTAGCTTTCCAGGCTTTGCCATGCAGGTGAGATACTCTCAGTAGTTGCTGGGCTCTCCGAAAGGGAGGAATTGAATCTGGGTCAGCCGCTTCCAAGGCAAACGCCCTACCTGCTGTGTTATCGCTCCAGCCCAGATATGCTCAAGATAAAGCAAATAATCTGATTTTTCTTACACAAAGAATGTATTGCAGTGAGTGCTGAAATTAAAGGTTTGCATATTGGGTACTTGAGAGGGTCATCAAAAGAAATATAATTTAAATTTAAAAAGTTAATTAGGAAGTATTGGAGGATTCTAGGATTAAGTAGTATAGCTATGAAAAATAGATTTAGCAAAGCCTAGAAAAATAAGTTAGAAGCAAGTAAACTAAACATTATCATAATAGGAGAGATAGATGAACTCATTAAGAGACAGATTTAAGAAATGAAGAACTGGATGTGAGGGCGATCTGGCTGCGACATCTGTCACCCATTGATCGCCAGGGTTGATTCGGCTGATCTGGCTGGCCAGGCGGGTGTCGCCTTCCTCCCTCACCCCTCCATGTGCGTCCCTCCCGAAGCTGCGCGCTCGGTCGAAGAGGACGGCCTTCCCCAAATAGAGACAGACCGGTCTTCGGTCGAGGGTATACGAGTAGCTGCGTTACCCTGCTAGAACCTCCAAACAAGCTCTCAAGAAATGAAGAACTATTACTATAAATAGTTTAATATTAAGTTTAGGAGAAATAGTAAAAATTTAACTAAAATTTTATAATAAAGATTTTAATTCCATATAATTTTATAATTAGCTTTTACTTTATTTTAACATATGAACAAAAGCTAAACAAGGGATCTGCTCTAATAATATCTATTCTAATAATATATTAGAATATTATATTCTAATATAACCTATATAGGCCATATATACTAATTGATATAAACCATATGATACATACATATACATGGTATTTATGTATGTATCATACATCTATTTCCACAAAAAATACATTTTAGTAATTAATATTTACATTACATTTAGAATGCATTTACAACACAAACACAATTTATAATCAAATAAACAATGGTTTTTCCCTAGTTACTATCAAGTTCTAAATTTGTAAGAGCCTTACTTATCTACATAAGTTTACATTAACCTTAATCTTATACACTTATTTTCTTTTGTTTTGGGGACCACGCCTGGCTGTGCCCAGGGCTTATTCCCAGCTCTGCACTCATTGCTCACTCCTGGCAGAACTTAGGGAGCCATATGCAGTGTGGTATGGAACCCAGTCAACAACAAGCAAGGCCTGTACTCTATGCTGCATGTACTATCTCTTTGACCCCTTAACTTGACACATAAGGCATTTGAGAAAAAGAAATAAAGGTTTTGAGGTCTCAATTTTACTACTGAAATTAGATGACTCAAAATTACAATTTTTTTTGTTTAAAATTCTTACTCTAGTGAAAAGTTCTCAACTAACATCACATGTATTGAAAAAGGAAATGGAGAAGTTGGGTTCCAGTGTGCAACATTAGGTTTATTCAATGTCACCTCTTCTAGAATTCAAGAGAAGAAAATTTGCCAGAGATTCTCACATTGAAAAAAATCCAAGTATTTTTTAAGAAATTGACAGTAAATTTAGCTTCAGATTGACTTTTCAAGATTGTTTCCTTCAGAGACATCTTGCAAAGACAGAAATGTTTCTTTATAGAAATTTGCTTAAAAATAAAAAAAAGAAAAAGAAATTTGCTTATATTCCAGAAAGTTAAGAGAAGTCTTGGGGATGTTATTCACTGGTAGGTGCCTGTCTGACTGATGCATCTCTGAAAGTTTGATCTTTGATACTACCCTACACACTAAATACAGTCCTGACAGCATTGGCCTTTGGAATTCCAGGTGCTACACACACACACACACACACACACACACACACGCACACACACACATGCACACACGCACACACACACACACAAAAGTGAATTTCCTACAGGTTCACAGGCAAATATGTGCAAGCATTGCAATCATATGTGTGATCTCTCATAAACACTGCAACTTCTTGGTCAACTCAAGAAGAACAAACTGAAGTGTGTGTGTGTGTGTGTGTGTGTGTGTGTGTCTGTGTGTGTGTGTGCTGGGAAGGTAATGTGAGTAATGAATAGGACATAGATTTGCAGAGCAGTTCAAAGTAATAAACACAGTTCCTCTACACATAACAAGAAAATACACAGATTTGCAGGAAGTCATTCTTTAAAGACAGTAACTTTCCATAATCAAGATTCTAGCCCTAATCAACACTTAGCCTTCCTGTCTCCTTACTGCTGCTGTTAAGATAAATTATTTCTCTGATCTTAGAGTTTCACATTTCTAACCAGTATTTATAATATCGACAACTGGCACATTTTGCCTACAAGTAAGATACAATGCTCGGATCTTGCCAAGTTCCTGACTTGACAGGCAAAACATAAGACAATCACATCACTAATTTTAACTATAAAAATGTGTAGAGGGGCTGGAGCAATGGTACAGCAGATATAGCGATTGCCTTGCATGTAGCCGACTTGGAACACAGGTTCGATCCCACACAGATAAGGTCTCCCGAGAACTAATTCCTGAGTGCAGGGCCCGGGGAGGAACCTTGAGCATCACCAGGGGTGTGACCCAAAATTTAAAAAAAAAAGTGAATGGAGAATTTTTAAACAGTCTTATGTGTAAATTCACTGAACATCTGAGCTCAAAAAGCAATGCAGAGATGCCATAAAGGAAGATCTCAAACAGAGAAGAGCAGCAATGCTGGTAGATGCAGCAGAAGCCAGGAAAAGCATTAGCAACACCTGCCTGTCCTTCGCCAACTACAAGACCAAGATGACTGCCCTCCGACGTCCTGATGGATCTATCACATCTTCCAGAAGGGCAACGGAGAGGATTATCCATAACTTCTACTCAGATCTCTTTGATAGCCACGTCCACCTGCCCACATACCAAATCCGTCATGATGAATATGTTGTTCCCAAAGTTCTCCCTTCCGAAATCCCACACGCCATTTCGTTGGTAAAGAAACAAACAGCAGAGGTACAGCCCGCCTCCAAGGGCCTGGGACCCTTTCTGGGCATGCGCAACCTCGATCCAGCCCCTAGACAGCCGGTGTTCAACCCCTGAGCTGCGCTGGATGGGCACGGAGGCCCAGCTCTGGGCAACAAAGCTGAACGGCTCCAATTTCAAACAGGTACAGCCCGCCTCCAAGGGCCTGGGACCCTTTCTGGGCATGCGCAACCTCGATCCAGCCCCTAGACAGCCGGTTTTCAAACGCTGAGCTGCGTGGGACTGGCACGGAGGCCCAGATCTGGGCAACAAAGCTGAACGGCTCCAATTCCAAACAGGAGACGTTCCCAACTCCTCGCCAGTGCCAGGGACTCTTTCCGGAGCCTCGGGCGCTAACGCGGCCGCGAAATATTTTCCCACTACGTATGCCATAGGAACCATAAGCTACCTTCTTAGATGGAAACTTCTCTATTTTAGCTCAGCCACTAGAAACACAGTAGCCAATAACTCATAAGCCTATCTTAACTCACACTGCATATCAAGCAGAATAGTAACAGTGAACATGAAGGACTAAACCACACCTCTCACAATGGTAAAGCAACGCAAAAGCCCACCAAACTTTCATATTGAAGAGTCTAGCCCAGATGACACCAACAGTACTGTAGTGTTAGACAACCTCTCTGACAAGGAATTCAGGAGGGAGCTACTTAGGATGCTTAGGGAATTAAAAGAAACAATGGAAACCAATGCCAATAGAAGACAAGAGGATCTGAAGGCAGAAATGAGGAAAATGCAATCAGAAATGTCACTTAATCACTTAATCACTTAATCCCCGTTATTCATCGATTTATTCGAGCGGGTGCCAGTAACGTCTCCATTCATCCCGGTTGCGTGCTAGCGTAGCCCAATGGTATCTGTTCGTTTTAGGAACATGTAGAGCCTCAAACCGATCATTTAGGGTCTTGACGAAGAAGTCTGACCATCTTATAGGTGGGCGTCCACGTGATCTTTTGATGTCTCGTGGAATCCAATCAGTAATGGCTCTAGTCCAGCGGTTGTCTGTAAACCTCATTACATGTCCAGCCCATCTGATTTTTGATGTCTTGGCAAATGAGACAGCGTCTCTGATTCTTGAGCGTTGACGAAGATCAGAACTCCGGATTCTATCTCTCATTTGAGTGAATCATGATATTCCAAGCATAGTTCTTTCGATTCCTCTTTGAGAGACCCGAATAGTGTTCTCATCCTGTTTTCGTAGGGTCCAGGTCTCTGAGGCATATGTTAATGCAGGAAGAATAGTGGAATCAAAGAGATGTGCTCGTAGTTGGAGGTTCTTTGTCCTTTTAGTTATTTCTTCAATGCTCTTGAAGGCATTCCAAGCCGCTCTCTTCCTCCTGCGTAACTCAGGTGCCAGGTCATTCATCATGTTGATTTCTCGACCTAAGTATATATAACTGTTGCATTCGGAGATGGTGGTTCCGTTGAGAGCGAATGGAGCGTCAGGAACAAGGCTGTTTCTCATAAACATTGTCTTCGTAAGATTCAGCTGTAGTCCAACCTTTCCACACTCACGGTCAAAGTCCGCAAGCATTTGTGCCGCTTG